TATATATATATACTTGAGACTTGAATAGGGTTGGTGTCGTTTAATCAGATAATCGTTTAATCATCATCATCATCATCACCATCATCATCATCATCATCATCATCATCACCATCATCATCATCATCATCATCATCACCATCATCATCATCATCATCATCATCATCATCCTCCTCATGTATTGTTTCCAAAGTTAGCCCACACCGTTTCTCCTGCTATCAGATCTCTTGTGTTGTTCACAGTTCCCTTAGATCTATAAATGTATTTCTCAACCAAGTCTGTCACCGGTATGCTCATGTTCAGCAGATGTCTACCATGCCAATAATATCTGCACTAATCTATGTCTGAAGCCCAAAAAGGCTGACCAATTTGTAGTAGTTTGATATTATGACTTTACCTTTTTTCCTTTTTCTAGAGGGGGAGGGGGGGGGTCGTCGTCTTTCGCTTGTTTGTTGGGCGTTTTTTGTTGTGGTTTATTTGCGTGATGATTTTTCTTTTTTGTTCTTTTTGTTTTTTGTTGTTGTTTTTTTGGGAGGGGGTCCGTTTAACTGTTTTGTTTTGTTTTTATCTTGGCATGTTGCTATATATAGTTCTGCTTTGTTTTTAGTTCTTCTTGTTTGCATATTTGAGGTAGTTTATATTTTTGCTACAATTTGTGTTTATTTCTTTTAGATTTTTTGTTTTTTGCTCTGTTTTGGGTTTTTTCTTTAAGCGGCGCCCGTGGCCTAGTGGTTAGGCTACCGGACCCATAATCGCGAGACTGGGGATTCAGAGGTTCGAGACTCAGTTCAGTCTGACGTTGTGTCCTTGAGAAAGGCATTTTACACGAATTTCCCACTTGGCCTGGTCCTTTGGGAGGTGAACGTTAAAGTCGGAGGTCCCGCCTCTTAATAACCTAATAGTATTGATACGGGCGTTAAACCTATACAATTTCAACATTTTTTAAAAACTTTTTTTTTCGAGAAGAGGGGCGTGGAGAACGAGGTTGTAAAACAGATTGACCGTATTAATGCATGCCATAAAAGAGATTTTTTTATTAAAGAGCGTATTAGAGACATTGGCTTTCCTGCTGGTGTTTTGTTATATCGTGAAACAGTCATTTTAAAAATGTGCATCTGTACCTGTCAATGCAAAATAAACGTATCTTTCAACTGACAGGGTAATGTGAAAACAGTCCCGGAAACTGTCAAAACAGTCCTTGACAACCGGCCGTGCGGAATCTCCACAGACACCTGTCATATCAAACGTCATCTCGACCCTGCTCCAGTTCCGGTCACACTTTTGACCGGATTCTCATGCCAGTACCAGAGGAAACGTCTTTCTCGCTGTCCCTGAGAGTTCGCACGACTGTGAAAGGTTTCCCCATTACCCAGAGATGTCTTACCATAAATAAACGTCATTTTGCAATCTCTACCAATGTATAATTCCGTACTCTTAGATGACCCCTACAACCTCCAACCTCGAAACAGAATCGAATAATATTATACACATCTTGAACTATCGTGTAAGGCAAGGCTGGTAATAGAAACAGATACAATAATGGTAAATATTGTGCACCCACGGTAGAAAAAGAGCAAACAAAAGATGCACACACCTACACGAGCGTGCACATGATTAACAATAAATGCAGATCAATAAAGAGATTCAACTCGATACGATATGCAAGATATGAGGCACAAGTGGTAAGAGTGGAAAACGCACTGTGAATCGATAACATCAAAGTATGGACTAGGCTAAATATAACAAAATGCAAGAGAGCAGTTCATCGAAAACAATGACGGATCATTTCACGCCAATCTCTGATCCATAAATGACACCTTTAGGTGACGAGATGTATTATGAACAACATATGAACGAAACTGGCATAGATACCCCTTCCCCCTCACAAAGAAATGTTGGGTGTACAAACTGACTCACTATACACAACAAAAGGTTTATCTTTTTTTTCTTTTTTGTTGTTGTTGTTTTTTAGAAAGAATTTTACGGCACTTGCAACACATGTAAGAGCCGAAGGTTAGAGGTGTTACTTGAGAATAACATACACAGGGATTCAAAGGAGGAGAGATAAGGGCGTTAGATGTTTGATAGGAAAGAAGGGGCAAACCACACCAGAACATCAAACAACCTCCCATCCAACAGGTGGTACAACGACTCTAACAGAGAACTGGCAAACACGGATGTCAATGCTGCTCATCTGTAGGCCTGTCTTATATTTTTTTATAAAGTTACATCCACTCTGCCTTTTACTTTTTTACTTTCAACTCTTGAATTTCGACCAAGATCTCCATCTTCAAAGTGTTCTATTTCAGTCTAGTTGGGCCTTCAAATCCCACATAACAAAACTAAGCTCCACCTTCAAACTGCTATAGTCTAGTTGACCACTCAACGCCTAAAAAATGAAATACGTAAGGGCGTACTCACCTGCACCATGACCACACCAAACGTGAGTAAGACTAGCGCTGACCAGTGGATGCCGTCCAGCCGTTTCCTCAACACCAGCACAGAGAACAGCGCTGTGGTCAGTATTTTCAGTTGGTATGTCACCTAGGTACAGAAAAGTTATGAACGTTTATGTACATGTAATTGTGAGTGGCCACTTTTTTAAACATACAATGACACAGTTGAAATCGTTTTGGAGACAAGTTGGCACGACTTCACGTGTCAGGTTCAACACTGGCTGTGTAGGATACAACATCCAGGCAAAGAGACTTGGGCATTCAGTAAGTATATCAATATATTCCCGACAGGAATTGAATCAATTCATTTTGCGTATTTGTTGTTATGTCGAAGAATCTATTTACTCGGAAGACGCCGGTGAGCGGAAATTCTCTGACGTTAAAGAAGTATTCCAAGACGCCATGCGTTTGTACGTGCCTGTGTGTGTGTGTGTGTGTGTGTGTGTGTGTGTGTGTGTGTGTGTGTGTGT